ACAGGTGTGTGTGAGAGAAAGGACACCCTTTTGTTTTTTACAGATTTTTGCTGCAGGGCACATGTGCTCACTGGGGAGACAGAGAGACAGAAAGTGAGAAATAACCCCGCCTCGGGAGGGGGATGGCTACACTGCAATCTTTTCTCCTCCATTGTTCTCTCGGGATCTTGGGCATGCATGCACACACACCCAGAATGAGTTTTTAATCACTGAGTCCGGGACTCGAAATGTGGTCAACTGCATGGGAGTCGAGTAATGTAACTGTTACACCATCTGCTGGCCCCAAGAAAGAACATACTTTTTTTTTTTTTTGAGAGATTTTCACTGTAGGGCGCATGCGCTCGCCAGACAGACAGAGAGAGACATAGAGACAGAAAGCGAGAAATCACCCCCCAGGGGGGATGGTCACTCTGCAATCCCTTCTCCTCCATTCTCCTCTCGGGATCTTGGGCACGCACGCACACGCGCCCGGCGTGAGTTTTAAGCCACCGGGTCCGGGACACGAACCGCGGTCGACTACGTGGGAGTCCAGCAACATAGCCATTACGCTAACTGCTGGTTCCCGAACATACTTTTAAGAGGGGCTCATCACACTGCAATCTCCCTTCCCCGGCCCTACAGCTCCTCAGGAAGTTGAGCACCTGCACATGTGTCTAGCATGTTTTCAAGCTGACCCAATGATCCGAACTGTAGTTGCTGTCTGACCTCCAGCCTTGTAGGACATTTGTATTCCCCTGCATCACATGACTGGGCTCTACTGTCTGTTTCTTATCCATGCTTTCCTGATGGATTTACAGATAAGATTCCCCCAACCTGGAGAACTTTGCTTTTACCAGAGCCACAATCTTCCTCACCATTGACTGAAAATGGTCAATGCCCCCCGGAAATGCACATCCACCACTGCTAGCAGAAACTTGGATATGCTAGATGCCTACCACATATGAGGCATTCCTCTACCACATATGACGCATTCCTGGGAGGCAAGACTGGGCCACTGTCTTAATTTAATTTCTGAAACAGGAACCTGGATGCCTAAGTTTACTGGGGACATGATCCCAGGAAACACAGTGAGAGACTATGGAAGCAAGACAGAAGGGAGGGCTAGTCAGTAAAGGGGCTGTTCGTGAACAAGATGCTGCTGAGAGCAATTGGGACTCACTGTCCCTGGAGTTCCTCTGAAAGACTCAGTGGGACATGCCTCAATTGTCTTATCACAAGCCTGGAAGCTGAGACTTCTTTTTTTTTTTTCCAGCTCCATCCTTCATTGGTTAAGGGCTGTTCTAGGCACTTTTAACCCTAAGGATATTCTGGGCTGCCCCATACAGAGGCTCAGCCTATTTCTATGGCCAGAGAGACATCAGACAGATACAGAAGCTTGGAGTAAAAGGCCACATTGTGTGGGTGAAGCTGCAGATGACCTCCAAGGGGATCTGCTCCAACCATTAGCAACAGTCATCATGACAACAATAGCACTTCCTCACCTCGTGCCCAGACACGTATGTGTGCATGCACAAGTGGGCACATCCAAATCGCATATTATCTTGTTTGTACTCCCCTCACCATGACCTTGTGGCAGTGAGCTCCCCCTCACAGGCTGAGCCAGGCTGAGCCACACAGCTTCACCTTTCCATTCAAGCAAGTGGAAGCAGAACTTACAGCTTCCCAGGTCTTGTCCACGCCAATGTAAATCCAAAACAGCTTCCAAATTTTGCTCAGAAAAAGGCCTAGTACTTGCACTGGCTATTTTGCTTAAACCTGCCAAAGAGCAACCTAGGGTAGTGGAGAAAACTGGAGCAGCTATCAGAAATGTGAGGCTTTGGGACCAGCAGTTCACGTAATGGTTGTGTCTCTGGACTCCCATGTGGTCTACCATGGTTGGAGTCCCAGACCCAGTGGCTTAAACTCACACCAGGCGCATGTGCTTGTGTGCCCAAGATCACAAGAGGAGAATGGAGGAGAAGGGATTGTGGCGTGGTCATTCCCCCCGGGGGGTGATTTCTCGCTTTCTGTCTCTCTGTCACTCTGTCTTTGTGGCGAGCGCACGTGCCCTATAGCAAAAACCTCTTAGAAAAAGAAATGTGAGGCTTCTTATCTCAAGTCTATAAGTAATCTACTTACGTGACTCTAAGGAAGGTAATGGAACTTTTCTAGAACTTAATTTTTCCATTTATGAAGATCAGAGTTATATCATCTGCCTCAGTTCCCTCTAAGAGTTGTGGGAAGACTACTTTATGTGCGTGGAATCACCTTCACGCACATAAGGGCTGCCCCTTGCAAAACCTTATTCTGCTCAGATGTGGCCTAATTACTGGGGCCTTGTTGGATGACCTCTCAGAGCCTCCCTTTCCCCCTCCCCAAGTGTGACATTCTTTCCTAGAAACATGTCTAGACCAGAATGTCCTCTGGTCTAGGAGATTTAAGGCCTTTGTTTTCACTTAGTCTAGGCAGACCAAGTCTAGGACTAGGCCACTCATGGAGGCATGCAGAAGACCTCCTGGACAGACAGAACAGGCAGGCTTGCTATGTGGATGGTGCCCAGCCCCTTTAGTCCTTCATTTGATCTGTGTTAAATAGAAAATTTCTGAATCACTGTACAAAGTAGTGGATAAGGCAGCACAACTTTCCTAAAATATTAATGGGGACTAATGAGGGCAACAGTCACTTGTCCTATGGTCTTCGTGATGTCAACAGAGAAGCACATGTTGACTGGACTCAACCCCTCTGGCTAAACCTAGGAGTCTGTCAGTCACTCAAAGAGGGCTTCCCTAAAGGTGAACTCAGTGCCCACAGTCTAGAAAAACAATTCTGGAAGAGAACTCGAGGTTTATCACACAATCAAACACAGAGGATGATGTTCAAGTGTGTAACAATGGAAACAATACCCATTGTAATAGTCACTGCGGGCCCAGCCAAGACCGTTGGGGAAGAATGGTGGGGGGCAGGAGTGTGAGCCCTTGCACACAGGCTTAGAGAGAAAAGCTCTTATCATCTAATGAAAAACAATGGAAGTAAAGTCACTGCTCGGACAGAAACATGCTGTCAGTGGAGAGGCTTGAGGGAAACTCTCAACTGTTCCCAAAATAAATTCCCACATAAATCCGAAGAAGGCTAATAGAGAAGAAGCTGCTTCTCGCTCTCTCTTTTAAGCCAAATAGTATCTTCCTGCCGGAACAGAGTTGTTCTTGGCCCTTGGAAGTCTATGCAAGGAGGGAATCAAAACACATTGCCTGAGAAAGGAATCCATTAGAAAGCTGAGGAAGGGACATGGTGAGAAATAACAAAGAAAGATGGGTCAGTGGCGAGAACACAGATTAACTGTACCAGAGGAGATGGTGCCTCAGTTCCTAAAATGGGGATGAGCAAATGTTGAAAGTGCTGCAGAGACACGTACATCTTTCACTTCCACTCCAAGGGCTCATAAGAAGGCCCTGCCCAGATATTGCCCCCTAGACAAGCTTCTAGAGGCTGAGGCCCAGACCCTACTATTGCCTTGCACTGATTCTGGAAGGGCACTCCATGTCCAACTCAGTAAGGCTTCATCTTGCAATCCAAAAGTGCTCTCCTTATCAATAATCACACAGGAAGTATTGCAACTGGTAGAGAGTGGATTTCAGTGACACTGAAACTACCTCTAGGGGACTTGGACAAGTTAGAAAAATGCAGAATTTAAAAAAAGTTTTTTGCTAGCAAAAGAAAACTGATGACTGAGCACAAACGCGCTGTCACAGTGAAACTATAGATTACAGGCAAAAATGTTAGGATCCTTTCAACTCTTTTATTTATTTATTTATTTTTTGGAGAGATTTTTGCTATAGGGTGCGTGCTCTCGCCAGAAAGACAGAGAGAAACAAAGAGACAGAAAGCGAGAAATCACCCCCCCAGGGGGGATGGCCACACCGTAATCCCTTCTCCTCCATTCTCCTCTTGGGATCTTGGGCATGCACGCACACGTGCCCAGCGTGAGTTTAAGCCACCGGGTCTGGGACTCGAACCACAGTCGGCTACATGGGAGTTCAGCGACATAACCATTATGCTAAGTGCTGGTCCCCTTTCAACTCTTTTCACAGCTAATCCCCTAGTGCCCATGTGCAAACTCCTCAAGTCTATACCATTTGGGTAAAGAATACTCAGTTCTCTGTTGTAGTAAGAACGAATTTATCAAACGTGCCTTGTACACATTCCAGCTAAAGGCATCACTGTGTCCACATGAATCACCAGGCAGAAGGCCACACTTGCCCAACTCTGAAACCCTTGACTCATAGAGGACTCATGGATACTAATTCCCATGATTTACGCAAGCACCTTTCTCCAAGTGGCCCAAAGCAGTTTACAAGCTGCTGGCTCATTTCTCATCATGCCGCTTGAAGGGAGAGGCAAAGGTGGGGAAAAAGGAGGGGCAGACATAATCATCTACATTGCATATGGGGAAACTGAGGCTCAAACAAGCCCTCAGGTCAAATGTGTAGACATTTATGAGTCAGTCACTGTTCAGGAAAGAGCCAAGATGAGATCTTCTGAATTCAGAGAGGACTAATTTTTTTTTTTTTTCCCCAACAATTTCATGTAGCTCTCTGGTACTGTTTTGATAAAAGAGCTGAGCTAACATGCAAACTCAAGGTTTTGGGCTTTTAACTGATTTCCCATCTCTCCTTCCATCTGACTCCTTTCCCACCTCTGAATTTGACCCTTTTTTGACTTTCGATGCCTTCTACACCTCCTGTTATCCTGACCTGCTCCCAATTCTGAAGGTTACTTCATTCCTAACACTTACTCCATTCTTACCATTACCTGATTCCTGGTATTTCTCCCATGCTGAATCTCCACCAACTTTTTCCCTCCACTTCTCCCAATCTACACACCCTTGATGCTCCTAAGTAGTCGTGGCAATGGGATGAAGATCAGGGTTGGAGCAAAGCTTACAGATGAGTATAAAATGCCCATTTGAGTCATCATTTATATTTAAAAAGCTGAGCATTCACTGGCTGAATTTTTGGGCTAAATCAAAATATCCGCAAATCAAAATCACTGCCTTCAAAGAACGAAGAGATGTCACCTGCTTCTGGCACCTGACTTTGGTTCTCTTTTGCGTGGCCTAGCCTTCTGTTCGGCTGCACTCTGGTGTGTGGTTCGTCAGAGGAGGTGTTAGCACCAGGGCTTCTTTCTATCCTGCTGTTCCAAGCAAGGACTATGTAGGTGTTGCAGATGGAATCCCTCCAGGCACCAAACAGGATACTAATGGCATGGCCACGTGCTTCCACCTCCCCGTGAGACAGCCCAGCAGCCATCAGTCCTCTTTCCAACCTCTTTCCCATCCCCATCTGCCCACGAGCTCTCGTTGGGTCAGAAATGAAATTCTTTGATGGTGCCAGACAGCCAGATGATGCTGGAAAAAAAGAAAGAAAAAGCAAAAGCAGCTTTCTAAATTAAGCACAAGCCTCGTTTACGAAAATAAATAGCCACAGCCTAGCAACATACGCACAGTTCAGCTTTCCTCCGTGATGAAACCTCTGTGGCTGGAGCCCAGGATGACACAACCTTCAGAGGGCCCCCTACCCTAGCCCCTCCCTGTGCGTGGTACTCAACCGGAGAGCACTGACAGTGCACTCTGAGGGCCCTGCTCTTCCTCAAGGCTGACTGAGGTTAAGACTCCAAGGATGAGGGCAGAAGCACTTCCCACACTTAATGAGGCCCATGAATGCCTGCACACTCTTGGCAATAACTAACACACCTGAAGCAAATCAGTGATATTCCTTAGGCTGTTTCTATGGAAACAGAAGGCCCTCTGGAGGTCATGTCTTTCTTCTGTGTTCATTATTCAATGTCAGTATGCAGCCCAGCACGTGACACACTTTGGGGACTGAGTGACAATGAGGGCAAGACTGGATGCAGGGATGAATGAATGAATGTTGTCATCGCATCATAGAAGCTCCTTAAGTTCTCCACCCCCAGGGGAATAAACTCCAGAATCCAAAGAGAATTCTTCTCCTGATGATGACATCTCTGGGCTGGATGGTTACATCTGAGTCCACAGCTGGGATGAGTACCTGGAAGTGATTAGGACGTGCAGGCTCTTACTGGCCCAAGTGCAGGCAGTGCAGCTGTTAGGATGCGGAGGGGCAGAGGATATGCAATATGCAATTGGTAATGATTATTGGTGCTCCTGAACCTTTACCAGCTGCAGACCAGAACCACAGCCCCAGCAGAGGGTCAACACAGACTTAAACTACCCCTAAATGTGCAGTGACATCTCTTTTGTGGCACCAGGGAAACCATGCCCTGAGCAGGTCAATCACATGCCTCTGCTCCAGCCTGGTGAAGATACAATGAGTTCCATGGGTCCTTACTGTTCCATGCCCATGGCTCCCACCTCTGCCATGGCTGCTCACTGATAAGACCCCAGAGATCCCCATTCTCTTCAGAGACAAAAGAGATTCATGAGACAGAGTTCAAGATTCTGCTTTGTGGGACCAGCAGATGGTGTAATGGTTGTGTCACTGGACTCCCACATAGCCAACCATGGTTCAAGTCCCAAACCTGGCAATTTAAAACTCCTGTGCATGCATGCCCAAGATTCTGAGAGGAAAATGGAGAAGACAGGATTTCGGCATAGCCATCTACCTGAGGAGTGATGTCTCGCTTTCTGTCTCTCTGTTTCTCTTTGTCTCTCCAACAAGTGCACGTGCCCCACAGCAAAAAATTCTAATAAATAAATAAATAAATTCAGCTTCATGACTTTAACTGGGGAGACTCAATTACCAGAGCTGGGACATCCATCTTCTCCTGCCCCCAGACATTAGTGCTCCAGTTTCTTAGACCTTCAGACTCCAGGACTTATGCCCGATCCCCCACCACCCCTACTACCAGTTTCTCAGGCCTGTGGCTTACATCTGAGTACTACACTCTCAGCTTCCCTGGGACTAAGACTGAATTACGTCATTGGTTTCCCAGCTTCTGAATGATATTTTGTCGGACTTCAGAGTCTCTGAAAGTGCATTAGCCTTACTTAAGCAAGGTGTGTTATTTAGAATGTGGAGGATGTAGATGGTTGAGGGCATGTGGTGATCAACAAATGGCAGTTACAGGAACAGGTGCCTATAATCATTAATGCCTCATCTTATTTTATTTTATTTTATTTATTTATTTTTACTTTTTTGTTTTTTAGTTTTGTTATAGGGCACATGTGCTTGCCAGAGAGAAACGAAGGGAGGAAGAGAGATTGAGACATCACCCCTAGGAGAATAGCTACAGTATAATCCCTTTTTGTTCATTGTTCATGAAATTTTGGGTATACATGTACATGTGCCCAGTGTGTTTTACCAGCTGCCAGGTCTGGGACTTGTACTATGTAGTCAGCCAGTCATGTGGGGTCCAGCCACTCTAACCACCATGCTACCAACTTCCCCCAACCCCACTTTTACCATCAAGAGCACATTTGTGTGAGAGACAAAGAGAGGGAGGGAGGTAGAAAGAAAAGAGCACTCTTGACAGGGTCTCATCACACCACAATCTGCTTTCCCCAGCCTTCTACTTTATCAACATCTCGAGTGCCTCCCTCTACCTGGCACATATTCAAGCTGACCTGGGGGTCTAAACCCATGGTCATCTATATGGCTTCCAGCACTATAGTTCAACACCACCTAGGCTGAGCCAATGTCTCATATCAATAGATTATATATCTGGAATTTTCCTTTTCTTTTTGAAAAAAAGTAAAGGGTCTTAAAAACATTCAAGGAAAAAACTGCATTGATTTCAAGATTTTTTTTGTGATAAAATAAACTTTCTGAACTTTTGAAGTCTCATTGTATAATATTTCATTTTTATAGTTATTCATATTAATTTGCATCCTCCCCAAAATGACAGATTATATATATGCAAAGCATTAATGCACCTAAGATAAGTTGTTGCATTGTTTTTAGAAGAATGTGTTAAGAAGAGAAGTAGTATTTGTTGAGTGACAATTCCTCTACCACCTGCTCATCCTTCCTTTTATCAGATCACCTTACATCTATCTGGTAAAAAGTTGAGCTTATTTTGAGTGTCAGCCTCCCTTTCCCAGTACATGTTATTAGATAGAAGAAACATGGTCCCCTGCCTGCCCACATGAAGCTAAGGATCTTCTCTTCTCTCTCTGCTTCCCATACAACCTGCCCATAAGAAGAATGGCCTTTCATCTGCCTGTGTCTACAATTCTACCTGTGTGCTAAACCTGGGGCAACCATTCCAATTTGCTTTGGACCAAGCAGATTCCTGGGATAAAGGATTTTCAGTGTTAAAACTGGAATGTCCAGGCAGACCAAGACAAGCTGGTCACCTTAGACAGCCCAATACTCTATCCCCACAGACCTTTCCAGCAAATAACAAATCAGGATTGAATAAATTGATACCAAATAACATCAAATTGCTTTGGAGGTCAGGAAGAGAACTGGAATGGAGGAACAAATGAAATGTTCCTTGTTTTTAATGAAAAGCTCTGTGAATAGAGAAGGATATTCTACTGTCCAGGTAAGCAGAAGCACAGAAAAGTTCCATTAAAGGATTCGTGTAAAGATGTAGACCCTATCCATCAAAAAGAAAAAAGCTAAAGCAGAGTAATATTATATAAGGAACAGAGAGCTTCTCAATTGTTTTAACTCCATGGCACACTTTCTTTTTTCCATTTCACGTGTCTGCAACATGGGTTAAACTAAAGAAAGAAGCTATTTATGGCCAGAGATGAGCATTTGAGGGAATTCATGGCTACTGAAATCTACGTAACCCGAGGACTGAAGAACTGGGATCTCAGCCTATATGTAACAGACTGATCACACATCACTACTTGGCTGGTAGGAAATCTTTGAACCATAGCATTACAGCACTACAGCCTAAACACGCAGGTCTAGACTCTACTCCATCACAAACATGAAATCTTGATCCATATTCTCCCGAGAATTCTGTTGAAACTAGCAGAGAGCCTAGGTGGGCAGACTCTTCTGATCACCTACTAAAGCAAATCTTCCTCAATGGGCATTTTCCCAAAATAGGACTGGTGTGGGTTCCTACTTACATTTCAACTTTGGTGGTCTAGACTTACCCCGTGTGTGCACAGAGTTGCAGGTAGAGCAATGCCTTATAGTCTTTGGATTAAAAAAAAGTAATTCTAGACCACATTTAACTGTTGACCTGACATAGGGTTCAACACACACACACACACACACACACACACACACGAAAAAAAATACAGCTAACAATTTAAAAATTCATAATTTTTACATTAAAAAACTCAGACACATTGGCTTCTTTCAAAAAAGAACATCTGACAACTTGGAGTCATAATTCCCTTAGGGTCACAATCATCCTGAGACTAAAGACCCGAATGGTACAGTAGATAGATGTGTTGGCTGCCAGGGTTCAAATCCCATCTCTGCTACTTATAGGTAAACATATTCATGAACTTAAGCTCTCAGAGTCTTCAAATCCTCTTTAAAGACAGTGTTTAATTGATAGTACTTATTTTTGTGTACAAAAATAGTTGAATCCGTGAGTATCATAAAATAATCTTTCAATAAATGTCAATGATTCCCCCCTCCATTCTATATAGGTAGTTTCACTATTTCTGCTGCCTGTATGGTCCCACAAGTATAAAGCTCATTTACAAGAGGTTGCAATTTTGATGCCTCAAGTTGCCAGGTAATAACCCAGGTCTAAATCCATTGCTGTGTTGCTTGGCCCCACCCCCAGGATGACACATGCCCCTTCTTCTTCTCTGAGTATCTCTTT